CGCTGGTGCGGTGTGAGCGGGAGTCTGTCTGCTCAAGAGTCACCGTCCGGAGACCCCATGGGAGGCCTTGGTGAGGCGGCATCGGTCCGGTCGCGGTTTGGTTTGGAGTTTGGGGGGCTGCAGCACAGTCCTGCGGCCGGCCCTGGTCTCTTCTGCACAGTCCTGTCCTGCGGGGTCATTAGGAGCCAGTCAAGCGAGCAGCAGTGGGTTTGAAGGGCTTTTCGGATGTTCTGTTTGCTCCGGGCCTGGATCTCAGTACGACGTGATCCCCCTCCGCGTGGTGATCTGATGTAATGACCCTCTGAGGTCAGTCCCTCAGGTCAGTCCCCCTCTGAGATGGGGATAAAGGGAGAGGACAGGAGGCAGGGAAGTTGACAAGACAGGACGAAAGCCACGTGACCCTCTTCTGACATAGAAAATGGATTCGACAAATGAGCAGCGATCAGAGGGGCCTGGACCCCCAAGCTCAAAGAACGGAGAGCCCAGCCTCCTCCGGACCCGGGGTCCCTGTGCTGGGAGCGTGCTAGACCCCGGGGGAGGAGGCTGCCGGGACACAGGGAGCTCTCCACGGAACGGCCAGCCCCCCAGATGCTGACAGGGGACCAGGACCTTTCCCCGCAGCCCAGAGAGAGAGGAAGCCTGTCCCTCGAGCCGGGTCCTGAGTTCAGCCTCCGAATCCGTGAGAAAATAAGCGTCTGTTTGTGAGCGCCACCCCCTTGTGGTCTTTCCCTCGTAGTTCACAGCAGCCGCATCCCTATTCCCGCCCCGTCTCCGAGTGCCCATCAGACAGAGAGACGCTTTGCCTACGGCTGGCCGGTGTTTCTCTCCTCCGCAGAGCCACGGGACTCTACCTGCCGGCCCCACTGCCCTAAGGGCACCTGCCCGGCCCAAACCCGGAGACTAAGCTGTCTGGCATCAAGGAGATTCCGACGCACGGCCTCCTTCTAGGGCGGACAGCATGGCCCCTGTGCGTTTCCGAGCCTGTGAATTTCTAGTTGCTTCTTTTCCGGTGGCCTGTGTGTGCTTGAGGCCCGGCCGGCTGGAGAAACAAATCCGGAGACACGCATGTCTGTGTGAGACAGGGCTTTCTATCAAGAAGTAATTCCATATCAAGAGATCAGCCCAGCCCGGATCTAGTCCACAGGCTGACCTAGTGCACGAGTCCCTCTGCAGACTCACGCAGCCACAGGCAGCGATGCCGCTGCAGGGAGATCACAGGCC